AAACATTTTAAATCAATCATCTTCCTGCTTGCCAGACAGATGGACATGGAGACTGAAAGTTTAATCCCATCACATAATCACTCTACCTTTGATTCTGTATTTATTGCCTTCAGAATTGGGAGAGAATGGATTTCTCTCATTTTAAATTATTAAGTTTTCGATCATTGTTTTGGAATCCTTAGGAATATAATACACTATGTCATGAATAAAGGACTAGAATCTATAATAGATTTTTAAAAACTTTAAAATCCCAATTATTAAAAAACATGACATGGAAATGATAGAGTAATATGAAGGAGAAAATATTTGACGGTGCAGAGCAGATGTGGGCAAAGAGGAGACAGGCACAGGGGTGAGGGTGGGGTAACTGAAAACAGTAGAAAAAAAAAGCACCATATGGAAATCTACTTTTTAAAAAGAAAAGAAAAATAAAATAGCAATTAGAAAAAGTAACAGTCTGCTTGCCCCAAGATCACTCATTCACTGAGTCAAAGCAAGTTGTCTAGACAGTTGGAAAGCTGTAATGACTCAGATACAATTACATGTGCTACTTACAAAAGAAAGAGAAGAAAATGGGCAAAACACATGAATGGACATTTCACCATCTATTGACAGCAGCTTCTCAGATACTTGTGTGACTTCATGACCCCCATTCCCTGATTCCATGCAAAGATTTTTGCTGGCTTGGTGTTGCACAGGTCTTGTGCATGCAGTCACAATTGTCGGGAGTTCTTGTGTAAAACGATCCTGTCATGTCCAACAAATAAAATTTCACTGCAGACATCCACTACTTCAGCTCTTCTAAACTTTCCATTTTGTTCCATTTTGAGCTGAGAGCTCCATAGTCTCTTATTCTCTGTACATTGACTCATTGTGGATTTGTATGCCATTCCATCTATTGCAAAAGGAAGATTCCTTGAGTTGAAAGGCGCATTAATTTATGGATATAGAAATTAAGAACTTAGGTTGCAGCTAATACTATGTCCATATAGCACAATAATAGCATTAGGTTCTCCCCTAAGGCCTATGAGCCTAGCCAGCCATGGGATTTTGGCCCAGTTAAAAGGCATAAGTTCTGTCATATAGAGTGGGCTCTGAATCCAATAAGAAAGAGTGTTGGTTATGCCTATAGCATTCATGCCACAATTGCACCAGTGGATGTATCTTGCCAAGCCAGATGTTATTGTAATTTTCAGGGCTCACAGCTAGGTAAAATTACTCGATATTTTACTACACTGGCACCATGAAAGTTTTGCTAGTAGGAATAAATCTTCCAGGGTAGGACCATCTTGATTTCTTTATGTCCTCTGGTTTCAGCATGTGGTGTCTTCAGCAGGAGGGTCTTAAGATCCAGAGCTGGAGGATATTCAAGAACAGTAGTAATGACATAATTTGGTGGGGATCTAAGAGATCCCACTGACCAATGACTTGTCAAGAGGTAACCCATACTTGGCACTGGGCTTTTCATTTGACAGTCATAGTGTCTGGGAGGGGCATTGGTCTTCTGTTATAGAATAATTCCATTTAATTCCCTTTTATATATGTACATATTTTAGGAAGCCCCTACAGTAATCTATTCCCACATAGAAGTTCCAAAGGTTTTGGTGTAGGGTATCCCTCCTCATACTCCCTCCTTTACCCCTGCCCTCACACCCCACCCTATTTAACCTTTCCTGTTCCATCATTCCTAATTCTGCCTCCATTGCACCTGCATTCTAGCTACCTTTTCTTGAAATCCCCCATGACTTCTTACTAGTTCCCTGACTTCTATGGGTGTTCAGCCTAAATGTCTATGAACTACTGGACAGATAATGAAAATATGCATGCACATAACAGAATATTCAGCTGCAAAGAAAAGCGAAATTTATAGGTAAATATATGGGTCTAGCAATACTCCCTCAGAATGAGGCAACTTATACACAAAGGAAAATGCGGAATGTTCTCTCATATGTAGGTGCAAGATTTGAAACTTGGATATATGTGTTTAAATTATAATACATAAAAATATTTTGCTCTTAGTAGTGAAAACACCATGATATATATATATATATATATATATATATATATATATATGTGTGTGTGTGTGTGTATACACATAATCATCACCTCAGCTTCCAGAGTGTGCTCTATTTCATTTATAGAGCTTTTCTCCCTGTATGTTCAAACCTGGTATTTTCTGAAAGACTTGGATAAGCTCATATTTCCACTTTTGTGACTCTTGTTCTCTGAAAGTTCTATTTTACCATAAAATGAATAAACAATATGAAGTAAAGAGTAGATATACCCCATAAGGTACTACTGAGACCAAGGTACTTACTTAAGCTGCTATTTCAGCCTATAATTTAGTAAACCCAGTTTAAAGGAATTGAAACAACAAAGACCCAGAAAATAGGCTAACCTAGAAACCTCAGGGATTTTTCCAGAAGTACAGGGTGCCTACTCTAAACTACTGTTTGGATTCTACTCCCAGGGGTAGAAGACAGATTCTTGGAGATAAACCCTCTACTACTATGGCCCCATGTGTTCTCACCCCTCACTGTTACTGACTCACTGCTCCCATGTGACTACTCCATCAGCTTAGAGAAAGTAGACATTTGTTTCATATCATCTCTTTTCTTTCATAAAACAAGAATAGAGCTCAAGAGAAAAATCTACAATGTCCCAAAAAATTTATGAAAACTAAAATGAGATCTTGGTGAACTTAATATTTAAAGTGTAGGAGGACCAGTAACTAGGAGCATAATAGTGCATGGCATTCCAGTTAGATTGGGCTGCAATAGCAAGATTCCATTTCAAAAGGCAGAAGTTTTAAGACGTAGTTCAGTGGTCGAGTGATTTCCTATGACTGCAAGACTCTAGATTCAGTCCTCAGTACTAAGAAAATATGGAAAAGTCAACCTCAGGCACCCTCTACTACAAAGATCATCATTGGGGACTAGTGTGTGACTCAGTTGGTAGAATGCTTGATTAGCATGTGTGAAGCCCAGAGTTTGGCCCTAGTACTTCATGAACCAAGTATGATGACACACAGCTGGGATTCCAGCACCTGGGTTGTGGAGGTACATGGATCACAAGTTCAAGGTCATCCTCAGTTACACAGAAAGTTAGAGGCCAACCTGAGCTTCATAGGATCCTGTCTCAGAAATATCTTCTTTACAAATTTCTTTTGAGACTTGCTCACAGTATAGGACTTTTTTCTAGCTACTGAATACATGATGTTGTACAGCAAGTACTTCATGATTGGTGGGACTGAGGGGCAGCAACCTGGGTAAGCCTGTACAAGAGGCTTCTCTTCTATCACTTTCTTTGTAAATAGATGCTGAAAAGCTTTGCAGACAAATTCTGTGGTTCCTTTGTGAGTTTTATATTCACAGATTGTGATCAAAGTTTGTAAGTAAGTTGCTGATACTTGTAAAACATAAAACACAAGAACTGTTGTCCCAATATCTGTTGTATGCACAAGCTGCTAATGCTGACCAGATTCCATTAAAGTGAAAAGTGAGTTTCTTAGTCAGAGGGATGGGCAAAGTCAGATTTTTCTGTATTCAGATCTGGAAAGCTAAGCCAATATCTATCTCTAGGCTCTAAATTCCCCCTGCGTGAACCTCTATGGGAAAAGATTTGTGTAAGAACTCGAGTTATCTTCAGAGAATCCTGAGGACAGTGGTTGTAAATAGACAACTCTGGGTCAGTTATTTCCTAGGCACCCTCTGGGATGGCAGGCAGTTAAATATTGTGGTCCTTCAGAGCTGCCTTCTTGGTCTGTTAAAACAGTGGCAGACCAGGGGACAGACAAACAAATGACTTCAGAACACCAAGATCTCTATTGAAGACCACATTTGTCTCCAACAAGATGTATGTTTTTTGATCTGTATAGTTATTCCATCTTTTAAGATGGAAATTAACCTGGAAAATTATTATTTATTTGTTGTGTGTGCATATATGTGTGCACATATGTGTGCAAATGTGTATATGTATATGTTCATTCATATATGACATGTACATGGAGGCCAGAGGTCAACATTGGGTTGACCGTGTCTTCCTCATTTGTTCTTCATCTTGTTTTTGAGACAGGATCTCTCACTGGTCTTGAACTCACCAAGCCGGACAGGCTGGGTGGCCAGCAAGCACCAGCAATCTTCTCCAGCACTGGAATTACAGATGCTGGGCTTTTATATGGATTCTAGGGAATAGTCTTCATGCTGGAGCTTACTGAGTTTGATTTACTGAGTCATATTCCCAGACCCAGGAAAGTTATTTTTAAAGGTTAAATTTCTGCTACTTGTGAACCTCTTGTTATAGACCAGACCCTGCTAAGTGGTTTTCAAATTGTTCTTCATTCAGATCTCTTCCTAGCACTATGGTGACTATCTTTTTACTAGAAGAGAAAAAAATGAGTCAAGTTGCAGTAACTCAAATGTCATCAAACTGCAGAGGTCAAATTCAGTCCAGATTGTTTATCTTCATAACCTCTGCTCTCAACCGCTGAACTGTGAGGTCTCTCCATTGTGTGGGAGTTGGAGATCTGTTGGAATGGAATAAAGAAATCCATTCGTCAATGCCTGCCTGTGTCTCCGCCAAAGTCTCCCTTAGACTGCTTTTCTCCTTCTCTTGAATGAAAGGGGGAATCGAAGAGTGGATTTGTTTATACTAGGGTGGCTTCAAGAGAAAGCATGCATACTGAGTCATGCTTTGCCCTCCTGACCAGAATACAAGGAGGCAGGCTGAGCACTCTTGGCTTTCTACCAAACAGAGGTTTGCTTTTAATTTTCCATATGGCTCCCTCCCGTGGTTAAGCAGCTGAGGTTAAGGGCATGTCTATAATCTTCCCTGAACTTTTGAGTCCAAAATTAGCTATGTCCTTCCAACTTCAAAGTCTCACTTCATAAACATCTCCTTTGGAACAAAAGTGGCTTCCCGTGGGTTTTAATCACTTTGGTGAACCTGTGAATTTCTCCTGTTAAATGCCTATCTGATTTCTGTTCTTGTGTTTGTGTCAGCTTTGGCATCCAGCATGATGGAAAAGAGAATGACTGTGAGCCTGTGGGCAGGCACCCATACATCATGTCCCAGCAAATTCAGTATGATCCCACCCCACTGACATGGTCAAAATGCAGCAAAGAGTACATCACTCGCTTCTTGGAGTAAGTGCAGTTCCTTTTATGGCGGCCTCACTGGGGTCTCTAAGTCAGAAGTTATAATGAGTTTTCCATAGGGAAATGAGTGCCTGGGAAAGACCTGGATTCGTTTTCCCGTCCACAGTATCATGGTGGACCACAGGAGTGGATGCCTCATCTGCTTTCTGACTACACTTTCTATTCACAGGGCAAGTGAGCCACCTGCTTCTCCCTGGTTGTT